ATCAAGCAGTTCCTTCAAGTATGAAAACTTAGTTACCTGGGCAATGTTGGTTCCATCGATACCAGTCTGGAACTGATTCCAGAACCGCAGCCAATCAGTTTGCACTCCCTTGAACTTTGTGATAACAAGCTTGGGAAGTTTTGTGTACAGCTTCGACGCTTTCTCTTCATTCTTCGAACTTTCCATTGACTTCTCAAAACTAAGCCTTTGCTGCAACTTCGCTTTCTCAAATTTCATTTCCTCCTCGTATTTCTGATGACGTATTTTAGAAGTTTTTTCCACAGATGGTTTCACATATGAATAGACCATAATTTTAATATTTTTAATATTTTTAAATTTGAACTCTACAACTTTTTCAACTGAAGTTATGAATAATTTTATGCATCTAGATATTCTATTGTAGTATAATGAGACTTTTTACTGATGTAATTTAACCTAATAGGTTACAAATCGGTATTTTATTAAATTATTAATTATTATTAAATTATTAATTATTATTAAGCTAAGTCCTCTTCCTCCCGTTTGACTCGCTCACTTTCAGTTTTCTGAATATCCCTAATAACCGAGTTCAACTCTAACACACTAGCCTCGTATTTACTAATGTCACTCTCTATCTTGCTGCTCCATTCTTTGATGTCTTCAATGTTCTCTCCTTTCTCTATCTTTGCTTCTTGTATCTTTGTTTCCAGGTCCTGGATCTCATTGATTTTATCTTGCAAGGTTTTTAACTTCCGTTCCATGGTGGGGACATGTCGTTTTTCTAGAGCTTCCCTTACACTCTCATTTGTAAATTCCAGCATTTGCAGTTTAGTATTTACCGATTTCAACAATGTTTCCATAGTTGCCATATTAGGACCCTTGATGGGTAAGATTATATACAATTTGTTTGATCAATCCAGTTATATATTGAGGTCTTCAATTTCTGTAAAAGTGTCCCAAGCACACTATTCGATAGATAATACTCTAGCTGATTCAATATTAAACCACGATCCTGAATAAACCTTTACATGATTCAGCCACTCATTAGAACCCAAATGATAAATTGTTTAATCACTCCAGCTACGTACTGAGATCCACCACGCTACAATATTTATACAGAACAACTCACCGTCCAAAATATTCCTTTTCGCAATTTAAATAATGTATTGATATCCACTTCGAAAATCCCAGAAGATATGCTCGATAACCAATAACAACCCTTCGTTTAATGAATAAAAACTCCAGTTAAAGTAGATATTCGCTGAGAAATTTCAATAAATATATTCACAACGTCAACACTAGTCGCCCATGTTTACACGTTAAAATCAGCACAAAATCCCGTTTAAATTCGATATTTCTTGTATGTTATGTCCCATCGGCGGTTGCCACTTTGTCGGGATTGCTTCCCCGACAATAAAGAAATCACTCACTCACTAACGTTTACAAAAGATTATATTTTTCGCTTCACAAATCACAGAAATATCTCGCCCTTTTGAAATGTAAATTCTCTCACTGCCCCCCACAAAGCGTCCTCGCGTGGTAATCACGCGCGCGAACCAAATAAGGTTAAACAAAATGAACTATATGTTTTTCGTATTATAAAGTACTTAAAGGTCTCCGACTATGCAATTTCTCGACCTAAAGATCAATACCTCGGACATAACTATTTTTCGTAAGATGACACATACCGGCCAATACACACACTTATCAAGTTTTACCCCATGGTCACGCAAAACAGCATGGATTAGAGCCTTAGTGAACCGCGCATATAAAATTTGCAGCAATCCACAGCTACGGCATACTGAACTCAAGGCCATCAAAGAATTTATGTCCTGGAACGGTTTCTCAAATAACCTTGCTAATAAACGAATTAAATCCTTTACACCACGCACAGAAACACATAATAACACCACGCACGTCGACCAAGCAGATAGTACTACCCCAGACAACCTACCCAAGATATGGATAAGATTACCGTTCATTGGCAATTATGGCAACACCTTGACAAAGAAGTTTATGAGTAAAACACGCCGTTTGCTAAAGAGTCCGTGTAAGTTTATTTTGAACTGGCGAACCACGAACTCGAATTGTTTCCTGTCATGCAAAGACAAGACGCCGGACGAATATAAAAGCTCCGTGGTTTATGAATTTTCATGCCCGGGCTGCCGAAGCGTTTATATTGGCAAAACGGACCGCTAGACCTACACGCGTTTAAAAGAACATAGTACGCGCGATCAACGCCCACATCAACTCCGTGAATATTTCAATACATTAAAACTCTTATGGAACTCTCACCTGACGCATCTAACCCTATAAACACTAATATTACTCAATTAATTTTCAACAACTGTAAAATAATTGACAAGTCTGATCACTGGTCTCTGTTATTGTATAAAGAGTCTCTTGCTATACGGAGGCGAAACCCGGTGTCCCAGGATTTTCGCCCCCCGGGGGGCGAAATTCCTAGGAATATCGCCCCCCCCAGGGGGGCGAAAATCCTAGGAATTTCGCCCCCCTTTAGGAAATTCGCCCCCTTTAGGAAATTCGCCCCCCTTTAGAAACTTCACCTTTTCTTTAGGATTTTCGTCCTCCGTTCAATATTTCGCCCTTCCTAACAGTTGCATGGGATAATTATTACATGGCTTTAATAATTTGAAATCAGTATCAATTCAAAATTGTTAAGACAGAGCTTGAAATAACAACCGATCAATGATCGGCATGGAATTGCTTATGATCGGCGGAAAAGCAGAGTTTCGGTTTCCAACCTGAAAAAATCAGGGAAAGTCATGATCGAGAACTTTGGGAACGTTATTTCAAGCCCTGTAAGAATACAAATTTATAATTACATGTATCGAAAGGGCTTACACAGTTCACAGTTAATAGACTAAAACTTATGACGCTTCACAGCACACCATGCATATTTTGCATTTTTAGTGTTAATCCTTAAACTCATTGTTAAAAAGTAATCACCGTGGTGGTTATTGTAATTATTGGTATTGTTTTGCATCCAGTACATTTTATCGGAACATTTTTTCCGTTATCGGAAAATGTATGGCTTACAAGATGTCACTATTTTTTTTGTCACTTGCATTATTTCAATATAGTTTGTAAATTTCAGAAGCGAAGGGTAGAATTTGCCAATAAGCAATACTCCAATAATATACGTTTCAAAAAAGACAAAAAAGCTTTTAGTTTTGCAGAGTTACATTCTCGAATGTTTAAGGCACTAATAAAATCAAAGTATCATGAAATTATTTGAATAAACCACACCACATATATATAATGCAATTTTCTTTGCGGAAGTTAAAAATCAAGATTACATCACTGACACTGACATGGAAAGTTGACGATTCAATGGACAATAGTCAATACGCTTCCCAACAAATTCCATAGATATTTTATTAATCCTATAGTTTATTGTTAGCAAGTGAATTAATGTGGCGGCTATTGTTAACACTGGTATTGGTAAAATTTGCAAGCGATTGTTTTTATAATATGTTATGTCAACTTATGTGAATGTAACTGCCATGCAGAAGAATACGACAACATGATTTTATGCGATCTCTGTGGGCAATGGTTCCACTTTAGATGTGTAGAATATGACACTAGTCTAAGTACCTCAAATGAGTGGTTATGCAGACTGTGCACACCACCAGTTGCTAAGAAGCCTAAAATGTGTATGTGATTTTGTCTCCTTGTAATAAATAAATCACACAATAAATCTTTTCAACTTGCAATCGTTTTGTTTTTAGATCAAAAATTCAAAATTTATATGGGGGGGGCGAAATTCCTAAAGGGGGGCGATATTCCTAGGAGATTCGCTCCCCGGGGGGGGGGCGAATATCCTAGGAATATCGCCCCCCTTTTGAGAGGGGGGCGAATCTCCTGGGGGGGAGCGAATCAGAAACGTCTCAGTTAGATCACGGCATTGGCGAAATAATTTTCCAAAATAACTTTGTATTAGCTGAGAAAATACAAGTTGAAATTTGAAACGTGTTTTATCACATATAAAGACACGCCACGCTTATGATTTCTCTTTGTGTTTTCCTCATGAATTATTAATGAGTTTTTGAATAACAGTTTAATTGTTCTATACATGAGCTATAGTCAATTAGCCCTGCTTTTGATGACCAATAATAGGGAGTTTAAGCTTCACATTTTTGAGGCTGCACGCAGGCTACACATTTCCGGGAACGGCAAACTGCAGGTTGGGACTTCCTTGGCAAAATTTTTGTTGAACGTTTTCGTTTCATATTGTTTTTCTTGTGTCGAAAGAATAATTATGTATTTCAGTTTTAAAACCGCTATAGTTTATTTACCCTTTATTGCCTGATACCGGCGTAAAATTTTTCTTTGCCTGGCGTTTGCCGTTTGACGTATAACGCGAAGCTTAACTCTCTAATGTACCAAAATTAATCAGTCTAGGATTGTTAATTAATCAAAGCTTTTTAATTCATGATATTTCAATAACGAAACAAGATATGAAAAATTCGTAATTTAAACTACGAGTTTTGCATGTATATTATAGAATTTGAAAATGTTCTTAATTCAAATTAGACAAACTAAAATTTTTATTGTAATATCCCTTTAAATCTCAGTACATGCACATAGTATAGTCTATGCATGCAGTATTAGCTTTCCAAGAAATCTTAAAACTTACGCTTTTTAAAGAAGGCTTAGAGCTAGCCAGAACAATCTTCTTCGTTTATTTTCAGATTACATTCCTCAGTTCTTCTGTCGTGTCCTGCAGAGTCCAATTTCAATATGTCGATAAGTCCAATTTCAATATGTCGATATATAATTTCAATATATAATCTTAATGTTATTATATTATTTGACTTTGGCATTTGGCTTTACTTTTTCCAATGAGAATGTTGTTATACGATATACGCATGTCGGTAAAAACACTAAGACTTTGAGAGTAAATGTTAAGCTAGGTTAGAACATGGCCTATCGAAGGGAAGATGGCTGTGAAACTCATTAGAATTAACATTATATAACTATTATCTATTTTGGTCAACGTTTATTCATAAATCTGGTCCTTCACCGTCACGTGTGTATTGTATTTTTGCCCAACTAACCAATAGGAACGTTTTAGGAAAGTCACCTATCCGTGACTCGAACAATAGGGGAACTGGAAATTGCTATTGGTGGATTTGGTAAAAATACAATACACACGTGACGGTGAAAAGATCAGATTTATGAATAAACGTTGACTAACATAGATAATGAGTTATATTGTCATTCTAATGAGTTTCACAGCGATCTTCCCTTTTCGATAGGCTATGGTTAGAATTATCTAATGCTTATCCGCGGTCATTCCATTGTCACCATTGATATACCTTAATTAATATAGATTTTTTAATTAAATATACATTTTATAGCTTATTCTGTAGCAATGCGCTGGTAATATTTTAAGTACTATTTATACGTAGGCTATATATCCTTATGTTTCACTCACAAACATAGCCTGAATTTCAGAGTTCAGACGGTCACTCCATAAACATATAATCAGTTAAGATTTGGGTTAGGGATTCTTAGGGATAGAATTGTAATCACTGATCTAGATCAGTGATTGCAATGCGTAATAATCAACAAGAATTGTATAAATCGTTTGCATTGAGTGGACCGCATCTTGGTTCATTTTCAAAGATTAACATTAACAATATTGCATGTATTTATTCTTCATTCCTGGTCGTACAGAACAGGGACTACAGGAAATAGTACAATAAATCAGTTCTTCACTATAACGACACAGAATATCTATTCTGTGGTAATGTTTATACACGGTTAATAGAACTAGAGGCCCAAAGTAGACTTTTCAATTAACTAAGATGGCGTCCATCGGCATTGACACGAAGACGACGTAGTGACGTCATGTGCAAAGAGGTATTTTACTATTAGGCTTTTCAAGCCCGAGTTACACGATACCGGATTCACTTGGTACTATAGATTCTCTGGGCAGATCGTTGAAAAGCGCAAAGTCCAAGAGTCAATTCAAGTATGATGCGCAACGAACTCCACGCACACCGATCACACACAAACAATAACTTTAATACCATGCAGTTAATTACACAATGTTCTGTTGTTGAGATAGCTCGATTTTCGATAGGGGTTGAGGTTAAGGTTTGATAGGTGTTGGTAGATAGATTGGTATAGAAAGAATATGGGTTCGAACTATATACAATTAGGAAAAAAAATACACAGATTATGGCATGCGCGCAAAGCTAACGTAACTTACGTAAGCATATACATGAATACTATTTAACATACTACGCGATTGAAGACTAGACAAGAGAATAAAGAACTGACTATTACAACAAGATAAATGTAGCCTAACTTACTTTGGTCGGCGCACACCAAACCTGAATAGATAATTCGTGCGTATGAATTCACAAATTATAAATTGTTTAGCGTTCTCGTTCTGTTTAGTTAACAATATTGGAACCTGAAACCCTAAACTAACAGACACTAATAATGTGCATGCATTACGTTACCATGGAAATGGCAACATGTCAATTCTACTAAAGTACGTTTCAAATTATTAACTGTGTTCAAACCTACAGGTACAACATGAACATATGCCCCTCGGGAATAATGTGCTCTCATAAAATTTCCCCTTTGACAATTTTCATCTTATTTTATCATGTAAATCGCAATTTCAAGTGCTAAGTGGTTCTTGGAACGCTTAATTCCGATGCTGCGACAAGCGAATCCGGTATTGTGTAACTGGGTTCTTTACTCCTTTTAAATCTCGGGCTGTATAATAATAGTATCAGTGTACCGGTTTTTTTGCTAGGTATAAGTACTTAAAATAAAACATCATTATATCACATAACGGGTCGACTTTAAATTTAATAGGATATTCCGGGAATTTAATGTTTCTGTATACAACTCTGTCCAACGTTTGACCAAAGCCAGGCCATATCCAAGTTCAAAATCGTAAAATCTTATTTTCAGGGCAAATTTTCAAAACCAGCACGGTACCAACACACTAGCGCAGCTAAATACCCTACACTACCTCGGGGAAAGATGGAAAAAATTCACTACAGATAGATTCTTGAGTATTTTACTTACAGATGTCCGCTCATTAGGATAAGAACCAACAAGAAAGAGACACATTTTCTGCCTGGGAATGCGAGTTAATTAAACCAGTTTTGACAGGTCTTCCAATTATAATATTCAGTAAAACCCATCCTCGTTCCCAGGGCTTCTCGGCTGCCTGCGTTGCCGTAAGCCCTGGGACAAGCCGAAGCAGAAGTGATTTGATTGGTCGTTGGAAATAGAGTGAAGTATGAAAAGTTTATTCATCAAGTGGATGTTTATATTCGGCAATATGGCTGCCTTCAAGGAGTGCGGTTCGAAATACGAAAAAATACAAACGTATACTGCTTGTTTTCTATGGATTAATGGAGATAATTTGCAAACAGAAAGAAAGAAAATAACAAAATGGACAATTATAAAGTAGAAGTAAGCAACAATATCGAAGAAACGTGAATTATGAAGCCATTAAAAAGTTTCTTCATTTTAACATTTTCTTGTTATAAAGTTGCCTATTATTAAAACATTGTGCTCAAGTATAATTGTAAAATTTTAAGCACACTGTAAATGTAAAATGTTTTATTAATTATTATACTTTTGGTATTGGTGCTTGGCCTATTACCCGCCTATATTAAAATGGCTCTATATTAAAATGGCCAATTGGAATTTTTAAATATAGCATATAGAATATTATAGGTGTATTTTCTATTTCTGAATTTTCTCAGTTGTATTATTAGTGAGTAATTTTAATAGCTTTTAATTAAATACAGTGAATAAGCTTATAAGCATATTCAATTGCACCAGTCATTTGAATCCCTGCACCTTTGGCATACCAGAGGGGAATGCAAGGACAATCGCTTCTTATTCACTGGTTTATCATTTCTTGGCAAACAGGGAAGACACTTACTTTCAGTGTCCAAGTCGAGGAATGAATGAGGTCATGGGAGGGGGGGGGGTCACTTAGTCTTTTATATAAATGTTGAAATAAAGCAGTCGGTTATATAAATGCTGAAATAAAGCAGTCGGCTAGGAAAGGTTTAGTCTTTTATATAAATGCTGAAATAAAGCAGTCGGCTAGGAAAGGCTTTTACAGAACAGTAAAGGAATGGTTTGGGAAATTTCAAATAAAAATTCCAATTGAATACCTGGGGATGATAGGACCGAAGAAATTTACCTTGCCATTTTGTCCTGGCTGCAGGGGACTTCACTGAATTTCACACACCAAATGCCCCTGGTATGCCCGAGGTGGGGGTCTCGAATTCTTGTGTCATATTGGAAGAGATCATGAATTTACACTGTTTCCTGTCAACAGTTCAGATAGAATAGTTATTCTGTTGACTTATTGCAAATCTGGTAAGAACTGAAATTATAAAATAAACTATGATTATTGACAAAACTGAAAATTTGTATATGTATATGCAGGCTTCTAGCCAGGAGACACCCTACCATGTCTGTATAAAAATTGATTTTAAACAAACCATTACAAAAATGACATAAAAGTTGCTTTGTATTCTGAAATTCTGGTTTAAGTCTCCTGCTATAGATATATTGAACTGGAAAACTTTTCATATTTTTAATGTGGAAATGTGTAGTTAGTAATATATTGATAGATCAGAATTTTAACCCCACCTCCCTTACCATCACTCGGGTATACATCCTGTTGTGGTGGAGATTTAGATCGGACACCCGGATAGATACTAGAAAACGCTTAGTCACACGTCTGGATAATGGGGGGGGAGGGGGGCGGCAATTAACTCCCTGATGTGAAATTGTAAGAAATTTAAAAATTGACCAGTGATAACTTGACATTATGTAAGGGAGTCAAATTTGCTAACACTACCCTCCAATCATTGGCTATCCCATTTGGCCTCAAATGATTTGGCCCCTATCTGAAACAGAATGTGCACTTGCATGTAGAAAATATATTGGAATGCAGAAAATATTGTTATACTTTAATCTGAACACAAAAATTTCCCTGAAACAATTAACATACATTGAGCCATACAGTCATGCACATAGTTTTGACTGTCAGATGTATCAAGAAGCATAGTGAGTTGCATTCATGGCCAAAGACATATTAGGTTAATTATTTTACATAATTATTTTTCTTCATTTGCCACGGCATCTAATCGGTGAAGGATTCAGGATTATCCAGCATGGAAATAACGTTTTAAACGTGCTATATACAGTAAAATGGTGTTCAATATTCATACTACATGATAGGCATATGGCCAAACAAACACCTTGTGCTTTTTTGCTCAAATTTACGCACGCATGATTTTGTATACATAATACAGATTTAAATCTAGCAATTCAAATCCAAAACTCATGGCGTCATACATGACATCTATCTATAATTTATATTTTCTTGAAATGTTAGGTGATTCATTGTTATTGCCGTTGTTGTAACCCAGTAAACAGACACACACCGCCGTTTAGACATGTCACATGTCGTTCTTGTTCCTTTTAATCACAGTTAATAGAATATTCTATTAACTGTGTTTTAATATACAACATACCATGGACGATAAAGCTTCGAATTACTTCTCTTTAATTTCCAGTCCGGCTTTGTCCAGTCTTTGAAGAGACTTCACAAGCGCGTGTTGAAACAGGTCATCTGTACAAGAACCCATGAATCCATGATGTTTCGAATCACAGCAACCACTTCGAGCACATTTCGACTCGATCATGTTTACATCATACATGAAAATTGATACATATGTAATACGAAACCGAAATATGGTTGTATTTTGACGAATATTAACGATATAACGAAATATAAAACCCCAATATGTATAATTCCATTAGGTGATCTGCACATATTCCCTTGATGGTGGAAAATACATCGAAACAAAAGAAAAATCCAATATTTTCTGCTCATCAACACGTCTCCACTCCTCAGTAAAAATTAGTGCATAGTCAGCATTTTTAGCTTGTAGCAGAACGCGTTTACTTCCGGAAAACACCAGAATTTGTGGTGTTCCGGTTTGGCTTGTCCCAGGGCTTACGGCAACGCAGGCAGCCGAGAAGCCCTGGGAACGAGGATGAGTAAAACCGGATCACAGAGATAGAGCAACTTGGTTACCAGGCTTTTCACGACTGCGGTCAAACCGGAATAAACTTTTTTAGCAACAGCATCTTCGCTCCTGTCTTTTTATGCGCTTATACATATTTCGTATAACATATAGTTGAATAACTCTAGGATATAGGATATCATTTTTCAGTATTATTGCAATGCCAGGTGGCAGCATCTTGGTTCATTTTCAAAACACAGTCACACAGACACTATTGAATATTTTCTTTATTCCTGCTTGTATCGAACCAGATACATTACACTGCAGAAAATAGTGCATTAAATCAGTTCTTCATTGTATTGACACGGAATACCTATTCTGTGGTATCGGCTAAAGTTACCTTTGGAATTAAAATTAACTAAGATGGCGTCCGATGACACCACTGAGCTGTATAATAACTGGAGGACCTGCTCCTATACTTCGTTCAGTGATCAAAGTGAAGCCAAAAAAATGGCGGATTTTGAGTGAAAATGACGCCATTTCCATGACAACACTTACTTTATTTTCATGGTAGGTACCACTGACCAGGCACATTTGACATGAAAATGATAAGCATAACGATGAAACTAACACTCTATTTGTTAATAAAATAACTTCCTATGCAATACACATGGTAAAGTGTAACATTTCCCACTATTTTAGCAAGCTGTGATTCACAATCGCAAAATATTTGGTTACAAACTACGAATTCTTTGATCGATATTCAGTCACATATACGAACGACGGTCTTTAAAGTGCGAACTGGAACTGTCTAGTGTAATAATGTTTAAAAGGTTGACTCCTGAGGTCTCATTTTTTAAACAGACACAAACTATGATCATGTGCCAGTCAGACTTATCGTCGGACTTATTCGTTTTTACGTAATTCAGTTTTTGACGTAGACATGCCATGTACCTGGTCTCTTGTTCGAGACTGTCCATGTCACAGAAACTAAAATAATGTATAGTTCTTTGATTGAAGTAAAGTTCGTTTCGTGTACATGCCTAAGTCACATGTTTTCAAAACCAAGTTAGTTTTATTTTCCGTACAAATTTTCCAAAATTTTCATACATTTTACGTATTTCGAGATCCTGTGGGTATGCGCAAATCGAGCTTTACCTCAACTATAATTTATAGTGTAATGTAATTTTTTGTGTAAAGTTTGTAAGGGAGGTGCCTCGCATGGGCTTTTTCTGACCCGTTTGCACCTTTCCTTTTGGGAAACACCCATTTATCGTTATTGTTAGTATTCCCAATAAAGTTATAAAAGGACATCTTTCATACTGAAAGAGGGAAGTAAATCTGGGAAAGTAGTTTCTACCTAGCTTTCTGCATGGTTGGGGCCGATACTTCTTGATTTTTGTGTCAATAGTAGTAATATAGAGGCTTGAGATAAATCACACTTTTCCCTAAGCTGAGATAACAAGGTTTAGCTGAGGTGTGTGCCAAGGCATACATGTGTGATCACACCTCATTTCCAGGATGGCCTGTTTTCTTACAAGTTTTCTCAGTAAATATCACTCTGAATGAGCAATGTACCTTTATAAGTACACTCATAGTTCTGATACCCCTGGTATAAGCTGAGGAGTTAGGTCACATTCTTTTGTTTACCTTGATCATATGCTAATTATGTTACTGGTGGATTTTTGTACAACCACAGTTAATACAACCTACATAGTTAATCTACTTTTGTTTATTGCAGATTTATTCCACAATGACACACTCCTTTCTGGGTGGAAAGTTACAGTACCAAGCCACACATATCTTTGGAAACTGAACATACTGATACTGTATTTTAATACATGCTTCCAGAAATTATGTCACCTTGGCTATAGAGATTCATTTTCACGATTGAGACATTGGACTAACTCATGCCACATACATGAAAATGAGGCTCCATAGCCAAGGTGAAATACATTCCGGAAGGGTGTATTTGACTTTTTTGTAAAATTATTAGCAGTAAACAATTTAAAAAACAAAAATGTATAATTTTAATTGCTATAAAACTTATTTACACTTCAATAAAGTTATCATAATCATATAATTATTTATGTTGTTATGCATGGTATTATAATTAACTAATTCATTTTGTTGTTCTGCATGTTTTTCTGCATGTTGATGCCTCAGTGCCATCTCTTGTGTATATTAAACATATAATTTCTGCAAAATAAAAGATGACATTATTATCATGATACATTATACATCTTTACATCACAAAAATATCATATACACATATGTTAACCCTTCACAAGTGGCAATGTGTCTTGATATGCCTTACTGTATTATTTTAATCTACCTAACGCCAGACAATTTTACTAGTCAAGGGGAGAGTGCAATTACATGATCTGTTTTTACCAAGACCATTGATCTGAGCTTCAAAATTAAGTGTCATGTTTCAATATTCAGCAATGCAATTACATTCCTAACTGCTAAAATATGTCAAACTTAACTATTATGAGCAAATTTCATCATAATTTCCCACAGGCTGTGTCATGGCCAATTGGACATCACTACTCCTAATGTTAGAAATCATGGGCGGATTTACTTGGGGTGGGGGGGGGGTTAAACCCCTCTAAGAAAGTGTTCAACTCCACCAAAAATTCTGCTTCAACCCTCCTATTTTGTGCGAAAGGCTTTAACCCAAACGCCTAACCCCTGCCAAAGCTCACTGAGTGGTGCTGCTCGCACCCCACCAGAAATTTTTCTACCCCTCCTTTTAAATAAATGAAAATCCGCCCTAATTGTTAGAAATGTTGTAGCATTCTGAATTTACCTCATGACTAGTGTATCAGTGACTCACTTAAATCCCGGCAGCTTGTGGGCAACATTTTTGTTCTTGCCATGTAACTATGACATCATACTGTGTAAAACTATATAGTTTTATATAGTTCTGAACAATGGCAAAATGATATCTATTTTTATTAAAATTATGAGTGAACATCTGGATTTAATCTCACAGATTGAGTAAAATAAGAAAGTAGCCAGGGTTCATTGCAGCTTAATGGGCTGACTATATATCTCGGGCTGCTCATTTGCAGATAGTGTAATTAACCCACTGCGTGGCAGCAGGGAACAATCACAATCCCCTTAAAATCGTCTGTAGACAGACAGAGTAAAATAATAAAGACTGTCTTTAGGGCTCATCAGGACACTAGGGCACATGCATTGTCAGATGTAGGTGGGCCTCCTCTACGGCTCAACTCTCTCTGGTCTTGTGCTTATCTATATACACTAATTCTGCACTGTGATGGGCAAGTATATAAATTTCACACCATATTTAATAAACGTTTTAAAATATACGAACATGTAAACAACCACAATTTTTAGTATAAAATTAAAAACTGGCAGTCTGGCAATAAAACCACAAAGGCCATTGCTGAGACAAAACAACAATTTCATGTACACAATGTTTAATCATTAACAATACTTTTATGTCCCCTATTGAAATATTCGCTGTATATATTAGGATGATGAGTTTTTGACATAATATGAAGGGTCTATAGTGACTCTAGCCGTCTAGAAAGTTATAAAAAAGTTTCGTGAATCTTACCTGAAAGAATTAGTCTTTCTTTGTAGTCTTTGTGGTGAAATGCTGCATCCACAAACGAAGCAAACCCGCGCACCCTTGCTCCGCGTTGTAAAACAAGTAATGTTCGAGGGAAATATTAAGATTTTTGCTCAAAAACAACAGAAAACTCGAGAGAAAACTTTATATCTAATAATATCGTAATATTTGCCCAAAAACCAGGGGGGTTAAGGACATCGTCACAGAATAAGGTACACAGAAGGCCGACTTCTTCGTTTTTCCTATGATTTTCCTATGATTTTGGCGTAACTCGTGATTCGTCATCAAATGCTGACGCCATGGTCCTAGCCAGTGCGCGTCTGAGAGGCATTCACCCCCCTGATATCATTCAAAATGGCGGATGTCCAGGGGGGGAATGCCTCTCAAACCCGCACTGGCTAGGACCATGGCGTCAGCATTTTGATGATGAATCATGGCGTGGCAGCGTTACTTGAGTCGACCTTCTGTGTACCTTATTCTGTGACATCGTCGGAAGCTTAGGATCGCGGTTGGTCAGTGGCAGTTACCATGAAAATAAAGTAAGTGTTGTCATGGAAATGGCGTAATAGCCGCCATGTTTTCGGCTTCACTTGATGATCCCGAGCAGGTCCTCCAGTAATATAGTATAGCTCAGTGGATGACACGTAGACGACGCAGTGACGTCATGTACAAAGAGGGAATAATAAGTTATTATATACTATTAGGCTTTTTACTCCTTTTAATTCTCGGGCTGTAATAGCATTAGTGTACTGGGTCTTTTGCTACGCTGCATACTATATTCACTATAGTACAACATTGTCATATCATATCTGAATGGATCGACTTAAAAAACTGATTCCTAGTTTCTGCATACAACTATGAATTTTGGTTTCACTTCTGACCAAAGGCCTTGAGCTGAGACTGCTCAACCTCAAACAACAACTCCTCATTGAGATTGGTAACAAAAAAAAATAAGCATCAAAACTATAGTTTGTTTTTTTACACTAAAGTAAAATTAACATTCTTGTCACTCAGCCCATCCGTATTAACCAAAATAAAGTACAATCGCGTACATGCTTATTTTTTAATTTTAATTTGCCTAACCATTTGACATACTTTTCGTAGCCTTGTTTAATGCTTTTAATATATGAAATATATAAGTAGAAAAAGATCAATTCTTGTTTTATTTTTAATGTAATTTTTTTCAACACGATATACTACAGGGAAAAGACTAATAAATATTTTATTCTAACAATATTCCAATTCGTTACGGAAATTGAAAAAATCCGACCCTAAGACGGAAGTACGAGGATTGTTAGATATTTTATTGGCAACTGGATCCATTGGTGTCCCAGAGAATCGACTTCAAATGGGGTCCATTTTCAGTGAATCCTTTGCAACAAGACTTCAAAGACTGACTGCAGAACTGCCAAGATTTGTGTTGGAAACGAGATTAAGTGGGATGCAGTGGATGCCTGTCTTTATAACTAGATTCGAACGAATTACAGGGTATGTATATTCCCTTCATTCGGCATTATAGGACGTTGTTTGAGGCAAATTCAGCAGCATTTTGTTCTTCAACTAACCATGGTTACTCAAGTCTGGAAATCCCAGCCCTGCATCCTCCACGTACTACTAACAGGAATGATAATTGAAAACCCAGTGCTACTGCCATCAATCTAAGAGTTATGTTGGAATCAGAAGACAAGCAACAGTGTCTTGCCCGTACACAGTTATAGCAACGCATCTCGCGAGAAGTTTCAGGGCAGACGCCTAGCCTAAGGAGAAAGATCTTCAAAAAGCTGCAATCAAAAGACTTACGAATGACTGTATATTCACCCCCCCCCCCCCAGGAGAGGGCGAGTTTCCAAGGAAATTTGCCCAGGGAGGGCAAAAAAGTGTGCGGGTGGCGACCTCGTTCCCAGGCTCTTTCTTCCTGGGTGGGGGGGAGAAATATGAAAGATAGTATAACAAAGGTAATTCAACTTGTAGATAGATGACAAAAGATTAAGCCATTCACATTACAATGTATTAACTAATGTCTTATATACAATTTTCTTGAGCGTTACATGTCTAAAACATTATGTCAGTTTCTTGAAATTCTAAAAAAAAAAAACGAAAATAATCAAGTTTAATTAGAAAAATATCCCAAAATATATAGATCCACTATAAATCCTACAAATGTCTTGTTTCCTCTTTTATTAATACTATTAGGCAATCTGTAAAAATTACAGATTTGCTTTTACCTTATCCCTTTTTCAACTACCCTGCCTATTTTGCAAAATACTGAGTAATAATGTACCACAGAAATACCTGCAGATATATTTTAGCAAGGTTGGCCAGCCTCGCGTTTGATGAAGTAGAATATGTTGTCATACACTCAATAATCGCTTGAGATGAAAGCTCTGTGAAAAGGAATAACACATTTAATAGAAATCGAAATGAATGTAACATGCAGAGCTATTTACTGCTCTTCAACCAACACAAACCAAAGAGTAGGAGTGAAGAACCATTTCTTAAAATGTTTTATGTACTATTTACAACATGAGCGGCCGTGTTGTATCGGATATACAAACTCGAGCTGACGTAAAAAACGACTCATCTTATGAGTTCATTGGCGAAGTAATTTTAAAAATAAACGTTGTCTAAGCCGAGAAAATCAAAGTTAAAGTTTATGTAAATCAACATGAATCTGTATCACATATACAGATACGACTGCACGCTTATGATTTTTCTTTGTGTTTTCTTCATGAATTATTAATGAGTTTTTCAATAAGATTGATTAAGTAAAGCTTTGCCTGACTCAATATGGAAATTTGAAGGAAACCCTAACACGGTATGTTCAACTGTGCGCCTAAAAACGTTTGCATGATTGGCAGGCATTTTTCTTGAATTCAAAACCATGATCAGCTAGGACATTATGTTTCCAGGGAAAAAAACCTATTTCATCGAGCCATACCCTGCGAGTTACTATCCCAGTTTGAGTATACATCCCCATGCAGTAGAACTATGCGGTTCCAGAGATTCATCTCGGTTCCGGTCTTTTCGGGGTGAAAGAACCTCGGTGTTCGGTGTCTGTATTTTCAACCAAAACTACCGGTTCTTTTGTGCATGCCCGGATCCGACTTCCGGTTGGTAAAAAAAGAACCGTACCGACCGAATCTTTCGGTTAGCGCACAGCTCTACCATGCAGTACAAATATTGCAATTCAATCTTTAGTAAAATTAGGAGCCATGGTAATCTCTCGTTGGACAATCACCTTCAGTCGTCTTGTCCTTAAGATAAATTAGACTCGTGATGGCAGAGAGAACCGTTTCTTCATTGGAACTAAATCAAAACACATAAAAAGAATGAACTCATCAAACTGCATTGGCTATTTGTTTTATGGGTATTTGTTGATATGATTGTCCGTTATGTTAGATTATATAAGACTATTTTGACGGGTTAACTCTAACCCTATATTAATATATAACCTCAGGCAGGATACCTTGACAAACAATTAACAATTTCTTGTATTCCACCATTTTCTAAGATAGCGTGTCTACAATCTGCATCTAAAGTGTAATTTATGTAAATAAGTTGTGGTATTTTAGTTATTTAGGCTTGGATCAAATGTCACTCTTCTCATGTACCAAATCTAATAGCTGTATTAAGAACTATCACAAAACTTGCAAGTTGCTGTTTTAAGAAAACATTTTGTTAGGATGCCCATGACCTACTATTAAAAAGCGTCATATACTAAATCAGGGGGTAGGAAGCAGGAGGCTACCCCCTGCCGATATTTTATAACGGGCCAGAATAGCTTTCGGCACTCAATTTTAAATGCGCTGATCTGCCAGTTGTCCTGACTCACAGATAACATAGACTCACAAATCATAATGAAAGAATTAATGAAAGGGTGAAACAAGAGAAGACTCAAGAGGACTCTCAGAATGCCATTTTGAGTCTCTGTTGGCCTGCCTAAGTTTATCAAACCTCCTGTGTCCCTGGGCTAAATCGTAGTTAAATTCTCTTGAACACCCGGTGTCTACTGTACATGTTATGAGCATCTAAATCAAATTCATTGACTATCGATGTCTGCCTATATTGTTGACTGACAGCTCATAAAATATTTTGAAATAATAATTTTAAGACTGACATCTTGCATCTGACATTTTAGCTGATACTGACACACACAACCAAGGCCTCGCCCTCCTATTAAGATCCTCTGTTGTTGTGGTACACAAAGATGTACCCGGTCCGGTAGCCATCTGATTTTAATCCAACCCTACCAAGACAGTAGTTACAAATTCCACCAATTCCAAATTCAACAATTTTTTCATTCTGTTCACTAAGCATGTCTAAATGATATTAATTAACAAATAAATTAATATCATGAATTTTATAGAGGGAAATTACACTGTTTCAAAATGTGTTGTTTTCCTTAGATAAAGATAATAAGCTTACCATCATGAACTCACCCAAAAATAACTCAGCTACATTAAGTTTCCTCAGGTGAGGATAGTTTATTGGGTCATAGGCAAAATTTGCTAGGTTTGCCAGTACTTGACATTTTGCATCTAGTAGAAAGATGAGGCAAAATTAAAACCATATTATGTTATACATGGTGTTATATTCTAGTGGGTGCATCACTGCCACAACTGCTGTAAATTTTCTTGGAAACTACAAGTTATTGTTCCTGTTGGGGGTGTATAGTAACATGTAATTTGATGGCCAGTTAAGCACAAGACTTCCTTTGCATGCAGAGAGCTGTTTAGCAGGCTTTTAGCCAGGGTCTTAAAAAAGAGGGCGCCCAATTTTGGTATAACGAAACATCTACAGTAAAGTGTGGGGGGTCGAGAAAATGTTCCTCTGGAAAAACTTGAAGTTTATGTTACTTCATGTCAGTATCTGTTCCAAGCTCGTTCAAAATTTTTCAAACACACTTGGCTTTGTTGTGAGTTTGTGCCACTATGCTCATAGAAAACACATGACTAGTATTGACTGACTCTTTCATTAGTCTGCAGCAAACTCACAATCTTAGGGGAGAAAGCTGCTTGCTCTTGCACCCAGTGGTGTACCGAGGCCATAATATGCTCGGGGTGTATTTCCCTAAATTTACCGATGAAAATTTTTCCCCCTAAAATCCTAGCGGAACCGTACGTGACAACATATGTCTTAAAAATTTAGAGAGTTTTTTTAAAAGTTCTTGCATGGGTCAGGACAAAAAATAAGCCATCTTTAATATCAGTGATATCACTATAACCACAATGCAAAGCACTATGAAAATGTAATAAGGGGAATCTAGTATTGAAGCAGAACTTTCCAGTTCTAGTGGCATCACGGTGGTGGCATGCATGTGTAAGAAAATTTGCCAGCTAATAAATGAACTTCAATACAAGTCCAGCATAGCAGCCTACTGTTTTCCTCAAAATAAATAGTTAGCAGTAATAAACATTTGAAAGTTTCTGACTTCGCTATCTAGGGACACAGAGTAGAGACATACAGAGATGTAACTAGTGTACCCACTTTTTTGTGTGCATGCTCGGCAAGTTACTAGATGCATGCATCTGATTGGATGACGACCTGATGACGACTCACTTTAAACTTGCTGAGCATGTGCAGTTGATCATTTTTCGCCCGGTCGCCTGAAAAAAGGTGGGTACATGATAACGTAATCTTCTGCAGTGTTTGCAACAGTCAGTTATGTCTCTGTATGTCTCTACACTGTGCTAAGGATTTAATCAGAGGAGGAGTGAGGACTATACCGGCATGCAATGCGGCCAGTCACGGCTTTTTATATATTATCGATTTCTCGCCACGCCCCGTTCATTCTTCGGGTAGCTGTCGCTGTATACACAACAACAATTTATGAAAGAGAAACCGTCTGTATCACGGAATATACCTTTGGTTTGGGATGGAAACGACTTTTTGTTGTATAAATGTTGTTCGTTGTTTTTCGAAACAACGTTTTGGGATCATCGCGGATACGTGTAGTTTGAATGCCTTGTGCTTTACTTGTCGAAATGATTTCTTGACAGTGACTAAACTTGTGTTGTTATTAACAAAGGTTTAAGGTAAGATGATTTAAATAATTAAATTATAATATTTCTGCAGTTTATATAGTAATCAAAAGGGTAATAAAGATCAATATTGATTTATACTTATATATATGTATCGTACAGTAGAGCTATGCACACAAATTTAGAATAAAAAGATCAAAATAATTTAAGTTTGACAATATATTTATTTATAAAATGACTCAAATAGTGTTTCAGTAAATTATATACAAAATTATTGCAAATGTTGTACCAAATTTATAATAAATTCAGCTTTTGACATTAAGAAACATTAAAAAAATCTAATTGCAAATAGATTTTACTCAAAATTTTATAAACTCTTGATTAACTGTTGTTATTCAATGGCAACTAGTATTTTAGTAGTCATTATTGTAGTCATTATTTGTTTAAATTAAATATTTCAAATTTATATCATATAGTTTGTCGACACCAATGATCACTGGCATCAGCTTGGAGATGTACCATGTTGTAATATGTTGGTCAGGAGGAGTCTATTTTAATGCCACGTACCACCTATCATGTGACACTAAGTTTACACCAGCCTACTGATTGTCATTGCTTCCAACAACCATTGTATCCCGTTTGCTTGGTGGAGGTTGTTCATGATCAGCATTGAATATTCAATATGCATCACTGGTCGCCCCCCCCATCAATTAATGGAACTGTTATAATCGTGCTTGATAAAGAAGACAATAAATTGCATGCATATCTGACTGTGCACAGGTTGTGCAATATAAAACAGATGATTTTTTTGAAATGTGTTGTAATTTTATGAAATAATTGAAATAACCAATCTCAATTATAGTACGATGTTAGCTGTGTTCAATAGTAAGTAAGATGTATTTTTGGATGTAACTACCTGAAAATATATAGAATGATCGAATCATGATATTTCAAGCAGAGGCCCTCTGTCTGGAGGTTAGTTCCTTTGTAGTCGGTAGATCTAAATGAAGGACCATTTGCTAGAAACCTCAGTATACTTGTCAGGTAGTATATTTACATCCACAACATCCATCTTCATTTACTGCAGTTGTTATTCTGTTCATCTTTACAAATATTTATAAATACATTTACAGCAGAACTTGTTGTGTCTGTATTATTAAATAAAATTGTGCTCAAGAAGCATGCTATGTTGAAGTGTAAGTAAAACAATTTTTGCATTTTTTTATTCTAATCTTTCAAATAAATGGTCATAGAGTTGTGTTAGAAATTATTTACTGTATTTAGCTACTTCAAAAATACAATATAAAATGTTAAAAGGTTTCAATAAAGGTTTTTTACGGTTCATTTTTACGGTTTTAAAACGTCGAAAAAGACAGCCAATGAGATTGGAAATTCGTCATTTGAAACGCCATCAAAAACGTCGAGCGCGAATCCAGCATCGTCTCATTCAAGAATTGAAAAATAATGCAAAAACTTTTCGTATTTTTCTCGCATTACAAATTTGTTTTGTACGTTAAAATATTGTTAGTATATAGTAAAAGTATCGTAGATTTTATTTCCGTGATTATTTTAGCGTAGTTGTAAAGATATTTGAAGTATTTTGGATTGTTTGAAAGTATATGTATCGTTAGTTTGATTGCATTTGCCTACCTTAGGAAATAATACAACTATACAATGCCTCGCCCGCGCGCAGGCAGGCAACCATAACATTGGGCTGCCTATGCTAAAACGCAATATAGAAATTTTAAAAAATAAAAATAAAAAATTCGATATACAATTAATATATTTACTGAAATCTAAGCTTTGAAAATAGAAAATTTTCAGAGAAATAATCAAGATAACCATCCACAATTTTTCACAATCCGTGGTCGCGAATTTCAATTTTGAAAATAATGAACCGCAGTGCATTGTGGGAAGACCCTCATTCCTCCTCTGGGATTTAATATTATTGTGTATCCTACAGATTGCCCGGTCACATGGTTACGCTGTTACGGCATTGTATGCCATATTTACACTACGTAACCATGCGACTGGGAAATCTGTTGTACGAAATTGTGACGTCAACCCGAAGCACAAATGTATATACCATCACTCGATGTGTCTTGGAATTCCGTAACCAAGGCTTGTAAATACTGAAATCTGCTCAGATCATCTCGTCCTGTCTTATTGTCTATGTATTCTTGAGACGAAAACATGGTAAAAAAAACAACAGCACTTACGTCTATCTGCCAAATACTAATAATATTCGTGCGCAAATATCTCACTCATTTTCGCCGCCATTTTGATTTATAATTTTATACTTCGTACTGTTACTGATATACTTTATGTAATTAATTATATAAGTGTATCATAAAATTGCAGGCTCAAGGTTTCGACAGCTGACGTCAGTGATTCTAAACTTACTGCTACATGAAGTATTCATACAGAATTAGAGATATGGGTTGAAATGGGCAGACATAAACACAATAAAGGGAAGAAAAGTGGATGGAAAAACAAGACAAAATGGGAAGATGAAGCATGTTGTTCTGCTGTAGATAAACTGTCGTTGGATGAAGGTAATTTTTTTTGTGAAATGGAAAATTTTGTTAGAAAACCAGATAATTTAGAGTTATATTTGTTGCACAACTTGATTTAATTGTTGCCCATGCATTCAGGCCAGACTGCATTTTCTGCACCGCACGCATTTTTGACAGACACGCCCTTTTGAATTTTTGACAGACGCACCCATTTTCTTCCGCGCGTGTTTTGCAAACAATGAAGTCTGGCATTTATACCATTCCCACCAACTGAATGAACTATACATGCGTAAAAACGCTCAGGTTGATGCAATATTGATGAAAACAGGATTGAACAATGTTTTGTTGCCCACATTGTTCACAGTTGTCAACAATATTGAACACTATTGTTACACCCGATTCAGGCTCAACAATATTGTTCAGTATTGTTGACAAGTGTGAACAATGTGGACAGCAAAACATTGTTCAGTCCTGTTGAGCAGTGGGCTCAGCATTTTTTGCCGTGTACATACACACGTAAAAATTGAGAAAATCAACAACTTGTTCCAGGTTGATATCAACAGGCGTGAATAAGATTGTGCTGCCCACTATGAACAGTACTGTCAACATGTTACAGCATTGTTCAACTGTAACAACTTGGAACAACATATGGTTGACAACTTTTTTCATAGTTGGCTGCACAACATTGTTCACACCTGTCTATATCAACTTGGAACAACCTGTGCGTTTTTAGCCATGTATGAAGTGCATTCTTGAATTTACGGTTACAGCTCGTTACATGTATGAAGTGCATTCTTGAACTTACGGTTACAGCTTGTTACATGTATGAAGTGCATTACAGCAGGTTACATGTATGAAGTGCATTCTTGAACTTACGGTTACATGAACTTATGGTTACAGCTCAACAACTGGCCTCTGTAGCTCAGTTGGTTAGAGCGCTGCACCGGAATCGCAGGGCCGTAGGTTCAATTCCTACCAGAGGACCTTGTGCTGCATTTTTCGCCGTCGTTCCTGGTCACGTCTTAAAACGTATATATATACTCACTTGGATTACAAACCCTAAGAACCGCATTCAAATATTCTTGAATAAAGTTCAGACAGGAATTCACACTTGCACACAACAGCATTATCAATTTGATTAATTCTTCTATAAGGCCACATAAAAAAATAGTTGGTTAGCATCCTCGCCTGCCCGCAAAAAGGGTCCCGCTCAGGATTTTTTATTTATTTATTTAAAAAAAACAACTTTTATTGGCCAACAGGCTTTAATATCTGTAGTATTTCTGTTAAGTCAATTGCATTTAAATGCAAGATATTAACTTCTGGAATATAAAGCATGCGAAAATGACAGTATGAATCATATGCTGAAATATATAAAAAAGTTTAAACTATCTGTAGTACTGCACAAGATAATCCCATTTTGGACCTAAAACCAAGGCGTATAATAATAAAAAATAGTATAAATTTAAAAAAAAAAGCAGCCTGCCCGCCCACCTTTTTGGCAAAAGCTAAGGATGCTAACCAACTATTTTTTGAGTATGAACAGATCGATTACAGATTATTATTATATAATGATGATTATTTGATGATCGCTGGTCCCAATGTAATTGGGGGCTGTCAACAAATAAATTTCGGTCTTGAATCCGTAAGGGGGGTGAAGCAACGCAGAACAAGTCCGCGATTGATGCACAAAATTTATATGTGAATGTACCCTTATGTGAAAGTGAAACAAGGTTTTCTCAAGACTTATAATCAGTATAGAGTCAAGAGAACGCTGTAAAATCAATTCAGTGTTATTAATGTCTATTAGGCCACATAAAATAAATTCCTTGATTCTCATCACTACAGTAGACTTTGAAAATGTCGAAGAGCCGGGAGGTTTATATTTTATATTTTATATTTATATAATTTATCACAATAAATAAAAAACTGATAATTCCTAACATGTTTCTGCACATATGAATAAATGAACATATTTCTCCACGAACAATCACTGAACCCTTCAACTGAATGCGAAGTTCTGTTAAAATGCAATGAAATTTCTTTCAAGACTTCTATTTGTTTGAAATTGGCAGTAAAAACCCAATTTTAAATATAAAAAACTTAACTGTCTTGAAATATTTTGTCGGGCGGTTCATTTATATTGTATAACAAAATATAAAAAAATTTCACACAGCTCTTAAAATACAGTCAGGCGGTGATGAGAATCAAGAAATTTATTTTATGTGGCCTTAAAGACATTGGTGACATATAAATACATGTACATTAATACATTATTCGATATGGCTATATCTACGGGCCCGTAAACATGCTTCGCCAGGCTATATTTACGGTACTCTTGTTTTTAATCTCCACATGCATGGCCTGTATTTATAGTTAAAGTCAAATTAAAACCAAAATAACCCAGATACCTCCCAGCCCTAACCTCTAACCCCTAAAAAATTAAAACTATATAGTCAGAAACCGACCCAACTCAGGTTCGAACCACGAAGTCAACTTATAACACAGCAGCCATTTGACTATTCTTCTGAGCTGTTTTCCTTCGTAAACAATACATTTTATAGTGCTGATTGCGGTCAGTTAGTATATGAGAGTGCCATATTCTGGTGAAGTCTGTTTACGGGCCCGTAGATATAGCCACTTTGTACATTGTTATATGTTGATGTATCTTCAATTCATCAAGGCAAAACAAAATTGCAGGCGAACTTGGAAATATCAACCACAATAGGGATTTATCAAAATTGGGTTAATTATCTAGGGATATATTAGCCAATTAAATTGCAATGCACCCTTTGTTGTTATTTTACTTTTAATTGTCTAATGCCAGAGATTTTTATTACATTTTAATTGGTTAACAGCGCAATTTAGCCAGGCCGCTGTCCAACTGTTTTTAATTAAATAGCAACTTGCATTCTTAGTAGTATTTCTTTAACTGTTTTAGTGTTTACCTGCTACTTTATCTAATTGCATATGTTTCAGAGGTGTAACTTAACACTTGCCCAGGGCAAGTGGATGTCATGACGGGCAAGTGAACATTTTATCTTGCTTGCCCGATTGGGCAAGTTGCCTTGCCACAAATAGCTGGGAATCTTTAAGTTAATGTTTTTATAGTGCATGTACGCATGTATGATTTCAAATTTTGTTTTTTGTTGGCCAAAGCTACACCTGAGGCAGTAGAACATATAGCCATATAGAGCAGTGGGAGAACAGGTCGACATGTAGTCCCCTTAATTTATACCCCCTACCAAGGTACCCCAGTGGCCATGGTTTATACCCCGTTTGATGGCAAGTGAATTTTATTCAGAGCAACTAATTTTCATGTCCAACTTGCCGTTGTCAAAAACGAAGTTACGTACGTACATCACAGGCGACTGTGTTTAGTCATTTTTGTTGAAAAGACATAAATAATGAGTATAACAATTAATTTCATGTGCCGTGTGCTTATACCCTCTTCACGAAAATGGCTTGCCACACCCACAGCATTTTTTGGACGGGCAGTTTTGACACCCTGGCTAAAAGCCTGTCGGTGAATAATAATTAGTTATCAGTCAATGTTATTTTTTTATTTTAGAACAACCTGGTGAAAACAAAAAAGATTTTGGAAGAGGTTTTCCTTTTCCTCTGTTGATGTGGGTAAGTTTTTAGCTGCAGGTTCAAGGGTGGATTTTCATTTTTTAAAGGAGGAGTGGAAAAATTTCCAGTGGGGTGCAAGCGGCACCACTTATAGCGAGCTTTGGCAGGGGGCAGGCGTTAGGGTTAAAGACTCACACAAAATAGGAGGGGTGAAGTGAAATTTTGGTGGGGTTGAACACTTTATAAGAGGGGTTAGAGAGATTCTAAGGGGGGTTAATCCCCCTAACCCCCCCCCCCAGTAAATCTGCCTGTGTGCAGATTTATATCAATTTTCTAAGCGAGCAAATATTTAAAATCCTTTTTCTCTTAAGGATCTTGGTCATTGTGATCCAAAGAAATGCTCAGGACGTAAACTTGATAGACTTGGTTTTGTACGATCCCTAAAACTGTCCCAGAAAGCTCATGGAATTATCCTAAGTCCCCTGGGACAGAAATGTTTGTCTCCAGAGGACCACGAGATAGTGGCTCATTCAGGTGTAGCTGTGATTGACTGTTCGTGGGCAAAACTGGATGAAACTCCATTTGGCAAAATGAAAGGTGGACATGCTAGACTGTTGCCATATTTGGTCGCTGCTAATCCTATCAATTATGGTCATCCATTTCGGCTGTCCTGTGTCGAAGCATATGCTGCTACACTGTACATAACAGGTATTATAATTATGATTGATGGGTTTGTTTGTATACCATATGCAAATACTTGGAAAAGGTTTATGGTTGTTTCATACTCCTGCTTTTTCATACCCTTACTGTATCGTACCCAGGCTTTGTCGTTGAAAAATCATACCCAAGCTTATAGTCGATTTGTACTTGTCCTTATGACAGTTTATTGCCAAAGATGTTCTTGTTGCTTTGTACTCGGATTTTTATGTGAAAAAATCCATTCGTTATTACGTCGAAAAACATATTGGCAAATAGCTTTGTAGTCATCACTAACTCAGAAAATGCATGGATTTGCTCTTTCACTCAAGTTCCAAATTGTTGTGATTGTTATTTTTTCTGGCACAAAACAAACAGATCAGGAGTGTTTTGGCATTTTCTTCTAACACTTTGCTAATTGGTGTAAATGTAACCTAGTGAAGGTAGGGTGGAATTAAGTCTGTATATAGTGCAGCTTATTTAAATATGTTTTGTTGTCGTTTGACAAGTGCCCATTCTCCCTACCCTTTTACAAGTATACAAATGTTCAGGTAAGGGTAGTGTCGGCAGAACAGATTATTTGCTAATACGTTTTTGTTCTTGGTGACACTATCCAATATAAGCAGAATAGGGTCGGAACAGGCAGGTACAAAAGCCAGCTGGCTTAACCAGGTCGATCAACTCTGCATGAGGCAGGTATAAAAATCGCACAAACCTGATCTCTAGTTCATATATTAAATCTTGTGGTACGAGTTGCAGAGATCCCCCATACCCCAAGACTCAAGAGGTTTTACCTATGTAATCCTAAGTCTCGCTACTTATTTTCTTAATATCGCGATCTTAATATGACATATGGTTATTTCACTAATCAGTTTATCCTTTCTTTTAAAAGGGTTCAAAGACTTAGGCTTAGAATTGTTGAAGCGATTTAAATGGGGAAAAGGGTTTTACGACCTGAACAGGTATATAATGCAAACGAAATATATTCAAACGAAAAAAGATAGAAACTAATAATGTTAATAGTTAAAACTAATATCGGTAATCTCAGAAGTGGCCCAAGACCGAATGTTGAGTATTTTGGAATTGGAAACTTAACATTTGCACTGATTTTTCAATACTTATATGTCAAAGAAATACTTGTTTTTCACATTTTTGTTGGAGCAAAGCACATTTCGGGTTTGACACTAAATCCATTGAACTCAGTTTAGCTTATTTTTCTACCTTTAGTATCGATAGGGAGGGTTTATCAACTTTTTTGTTTGAAGATTGTCTTCGCTCCTCGGTTTGTTTTGGCGCGAAACGCGAGAACCGGAAGATATAAATATTATTAAGTAACTTGTTATTTTAATGTTATCTTATAGTAATCTTAATTGAAACTGTGTGCTCATTGTTTTTTATGGTATTTATCGCAATATTATCAAATATCGTGATAATTTCTTAGACGATAATCATGATATGATTTATATAGCCCAACTCTACTTGCAAATGAAGAATTAGTTTCGATGATGTAGAAACTAAATCATGTGGGAAAAAAGATCAGCCGGCTGAGTTGACGAAAATGTTTTGTGATGCGAAGATGGCGTCATTATTGTTGAAAAGATCAACTGAGATTTGAGTTATGTTTTTCTCTAGAGAATTACTGGATATTTACTCTTCCTGTAAGGACAGTGGCGAAGTTGTTGAAGCGCAAAATAAATGGATGGAAGATTTAAAATTAAAGAAAAAACAACAGGAAGTTGATGGTAAGCATTAAGCATTTTCATGTCAACATTTTCATCTTTTTCATCTGTTAATAAAATAAATTATCCCAGATTTATTTATGCTGGACAGCTTTAATGGTTCTGTCACACTATTGCGTATCGTACTAGCGTATGCTAGCGTATGGAAAATATCAATCATACGCTGGCATACACTAGGGGTACGTTAGGCATAGGTTGTATGGGCTTCAAGCACGGTGGTATACGCATGGATACGACGAGGCAGAAACATTTTTTTAAGAATGCTTAAAAATTTTGTGCGGACGTATGGTCTATATACGATAAGCATACTCTAGGCATACCCTCAATACGCTATATAGATGTACGGTACTCATAGGTTCAATAAGGTAAGTATATGCACAATTCTGTATTTTCAAGGCCTTTTTGTGCGTATGAAAATTATTTCATTCATTTTCATACGCTACTCATACGTTTCCCTTGTACGCAATAGTGTGACAGGTCCTCAACGTAACAGTTCGAAATTTTTTTCCCTAGAGGTTCATGAGGGCAAGTTTATTCAGGGGCGGATTTAGCCTCACGTGCAAGGAGGGGTGCAGGTTTTTCATGAGGTGATGCACGAGGGAGCCTTACTGTCTACTCTTCTCTGCAGTCTGCAACTATCTCAGCATTGACATTATTTCAGAAGGCTGAATTATATGCATGTTTGCCGTTCTGTTACGTTTTACATTATCTTTTGTTTGTAAATTTAACAGTTGAAGGAGCTGCGCTAGTGCTGACGCTTTGGGTCGTGAATATTGTTCGACCGAGCTTTGCTGATTAATTCACTCAAAAGTAGCGAGCAAAATCATGACTAGTCTTTCAATTAACAGATTACGACATGACAACAATCGATGATTCAAAGGAACATTGGAATCCAAATCGGAATTTTGTTGAAGTATCTTCCAGGTAAAACAATAATCCGTTATTTACCTCATGTACTTGGTGGCCAAAATATACCGCTGTTAATTATATATAATATAATTATATAATATTATAACGGTGTATTAGTCTTTCAGATTTTATTGAAAAAATTACCTGGAACTGCCTTATGTGTTATATTTCTCATGGAAATAAAATATCTCATTCTCCAAATTATTACCAACATGCAGTCACTGGCCGCTAAATAATGCGAAATTGTGGATCTTCAGAAGAAATAATAAATTTCAAAATCTACGGTACTTTTCTGGTTTTATACATGTAATATATTGTATAACAAATGTAAATTTCGAGCTCGGGGGGGGGGGGCGACAAGATTGGTTTGCGGAGTTGCGAGTGGATTTTGGTAATTTATTGTACGTTATCCATTTGCTGTATTTTATATCACCTGATTTGATAATTGGCCCTAAAAACACCGGGGCATATGGCCTTAAAAATTGTCGCCATTATTTTTAAGTGAAGAGGAATCAAGTGGTGATGGAAGTGAAACAGAAAGTGCTGGAGAAAGCGAAGAAGAGAAAGAAAATATAGAAAAAGAAGAAGTTGAAAATAAAGATATTGAAGCAAAAGAAGAAGAAAGCTAGAAAGAGTGGATATTTCATGGAGGTAAAAATTATATTGATAATTTAATCCAAATCATAAAAGATAACACTGTAGACTCTGAAACTTTCATATTGAATTTCAAGATTTTAACCTATCTGGGTCGTATGCCTCGGGTCTTGAAGGATAATTTGTTTATCTATAAGTTGTGTATAAATATGCCATTGTAGATTAACTTCAAGAAAATCAGATATTTCTATGCACGTAGTCACTAACGCCAGATTTTGGTGGAAATTCTGGGTGAGGTCGAAAAATATTTAGCGGAGGTATAGCGGTCTGGTTCACAGCCCCAATGAAACATAGGATTTTAATAGAACGTACCCTCCTAACGTCATCTACGTGACGTATGCATGCATGTACTACCACTGTACATTACGACTCATCCAATTTTGCCCTTCATGATACAAAGTTTCTTTCGAAACATTGCGTTAAAAGGGTACTTGCATGGTTATCAATTATACAGAAAAACATTCGCACAAAGTGTAGACCCTTTGAAAGCAACATATAAAAATTTGTCAAGTTTTCACATTTATCTATCATTTAACTTTTGTGCAGACCTTTTAGGGGAGGCGCGAACCTCCCCTCACGATCCCACATCGAACCTCCCCACACCTCCCCTCAAAATCCGACCGTGGTAGTCACCAAGTTTTCTTGACAAAACCAAAATCGACTTCGTTCCCAGTGTTTTCCAACTGGCATGGTTCGTTAATATAGAATATCCCTGCCAGGATAAATCGCGCTATTCTGGGTAGTTGGCCTGGATAGTTGGTCTTGTGTAGTTGTGTACGGCTAACCGCTAAGGCTAATCGATGAACCAAAAACCAATGTTTTTAATAAAAACCGATTTAAGCGATGTTGCTTTCGCACCAAAGAGACAAATAATGCTAAGTACAATAGTGAAAGTATTATTAAAGACCATG